GGGAAGAGATAAGTCACGGTAAAAAACAGGATCCCTTCACTGAGTTCCAGATCTCAAAACTCTCATACCTGTAGCACCAGAAGTAAAAAAGTGTTTTCTTGGAGCGTGGCTTTAAATAAGCATGGTTAAGCCTACTTGCTGCACATATTTTCTGCAGTCTTAGTACTCACAAAATGCTCGTTGACTATTGTGCCAGAAGCAAGAGTCTCACACCCATGCACACTGTGCTTTTCTGAGCACAGCATACCAAAGAACTAACACTTTGATCCTACATTAAAGAGATGCTAAAATTTTGTTTAAAAAAAAAAATAAAATGACAAACATGTCATACATACTTGTTCTGTGTAACGGTTTTACACAGAGCAGCCCAGATCCTCTCCTGGCCCCTCCCTACTGTCAGGTGCCCCCAGAGCAAGCAGCTTGCTCTGGGGGCACCTGAGCAGGTGAGCTCCCAAGCCATGGCTCTGCATGTCTATTCACACACAGAGCAGTGGCTTGGCCCCGCCCCTTCCTCTCCTGATTGGTTCACTGGCTGTGATTGACAGCAGCAGGAGCCAATGACTCCCGCTGATGCCTCAGCCAATCAGGAGTGAGAGTTCCCAGAGAACTGAAGCTCTCGTGGACATGGCTGGATCGGAATGGGGCTACTACTACACACATAGAATGCATGAACCTTAAAAATCCTTGCGCCTTTAAAACCACTTTAAATATGAATTTTAATAAAAATAGTTGGGGGCTACTTAGAAACCAGCAACTATAAACGAGACAATAAACACCTTGATCAGGACTATGTAACATACAACACAGAAACATGAGCAGGGGTCATGACCATGTAATGTACAACCCCCCCCCCATGTCAGTAGCAGTAAACCATTCCCTCCCAGTCATTGGTGGCTGTTATTTTCATTCCCCTGCTTTGGATGGAGGGGCATTAATGACAGTCAACTGGATTCAGAGTCTGAAGTGGCACTCCTCCAGCTACTGTACAAATAGGTGGAAACTGAGAGAATTGGGACACAACATTTCCTGTCCCCAACCACAGGGTGGCTGGAGGTTTGCCCAGCGATTTGTTCTAGTGATCTGTATATCATCATCATGTTGAGTAAGGGGCCATCTATTGTGTGTTTAATGCAACTGCACCTTCTTTTATTATTCCCTTCAACAAGAACAGGAAGTGCCTCAGGTTTTAAGAATAAAGATTTCCCATAAACCACTGCAGCCATTTCAGGTTCTAGAAGAACACCAGTGAAGTTCTCCTTCATTCTCTCTTTGATACACATATGCCTTTGAGTTCTTGCATTGTGTTTTTTAAAGTCACATACAGTATCTCACAGAAGTGAGTACACCCCTCACATTTTTGTAAATATTTTATTATATCTTTTTTAAGTGATAACACTGAAGAAACGACATTTTGCTACAATGTAAAGTAGTGAGTGTACAGCTTGTATAACAGTGTAAATTTGTTGTCCCCTCAAAATAACTCAACACACAGCCATTAATGTCTAAACCGCTGGCAACAAAAGTGAGTACACCCCTAAGTGAAAATGTCCAAATTGGGCCCAATTAGCCATTTTCCCTCCCCGGTGTCATGTGACTCGTTAGTGTTACAAGGTCTCAGGTGTGAATGGGGAGCAGGTGTATTAAATTTGGTGTTATCGCTCTCACTCACTCATACTGGTCACTGGAAGTTCAACACGGCACATCATGGCAAAGAACTCTCTGAGGATCTGAAAAAAAAGAATTGTTGCTCTACATAAAGATGGCCTAGGCTTTAAGAAGATTTCCAAGACCCTGAAACTAAGCTGCAGTACGGTGGTCAAGACCATACAGCAGTTTAACAGGACAGTTTCCACTCAGAACAGGTCTCGCCATGGTCGACCAAAGAAGTTGAGTGCACGTGCTCAGCGTCATATAAAGAGGTTGTCTTTGGGAAATAGACGTATGAGTGCTGCCAGCATTGCTGCAGAGGTTGAAGGGGGGTGGGGGGTCAGCCTGTCAGTGCTCAGACCATATGCCGCACACTGCATCAAATTGGCCTACATGGCTGTCGTCCCAGAATGAAGTCTCTTCTAAAGATGATGCACAAGAAAGCCCGCAAACAGTTTGCTGAAGACAAGCAGACTAAGGACATGGATTACTGGAACCATGTCCTGTGGTCTGATGAGACCAAGATAAACTTATTTGGCTCAGATGGTGTCAAGTGTGTGTGGCGGCAATCAGGTGAGGAGTACAAAGACAAGTGTGTCTTGCTTACAGTCAAGCATGGTGTTGGAAGTGTCATGGTCTGAGACTGCATGAGTGCTGTCGGCACTAGGGAGCTACAGTTCATTGAGGGAACCATGCATGCCAACATGTACTGTGACATACTGAAGCAGAGCAAGATCCCCTCCCTTCGGAGACTGGGCCACAGGGCAATATTCCAACAGGTTGCTAAAACCTTGCTTGACCCTGACATCCTCTTGCAGTGGGCCTCCATAGTAAAATATTTGGGTATTGTGGTCTCAACAAAAAACTTAGATTTCTGTAAGCTCAATTTACTGCCGTTACTCTTGAGGGCGAAGCAATGTATGGCGGCATGGACTAACCTTCCACTCTCCCTCATAGGTAAGATTAACTTAGTCAAAATGAAACTCCTTCTTCCTCTATGTACTCCGACATACTCCAGTTTGGATTCCACGGAAATACTTCAAACAATTTGATGCCGCAGTGGTCTTTTTTCCTGTGGGGTTCAAGGCAGCCAAGATTTAAATTGAGGGTGTTGCAGAGACCCTGGACTAGGGGGGGGGGGGTCGGATTGGCTTGTCCGGATCTATATTTTTATTACCTCGCGGTGTTGCTTTCTCGAGCGCACAACTGGATAATGGCTGATGAGACCAATGCAGCTGTGGTATTGGAGGCAGCTTTCAAGGGCTCTTATGAAGCCCTTCGTAACCTACTATATAGGGGTCTGGCCACACCATCTCCCATTACAATGGCTATGAGAGCTTAAAGCCTGGCGGTTGCACTTTCCTATAGAATCCCTACTTTGGTCGCCCCGTACTACGTTATGGCTGAACCCCTCATTAAAAGAATTCTTTCTCTTCCCTGATCCCCAGGTTTGGGCATCAAAAAATTTTAAGTATTTACAACAGATATGTGAGGGTGGCACACTCAGAACATTTGATTGCTTAAAAGCTCACTATGCTCTTCCCAACTCCTAATTTGTAGATACATTCAACTGCGTCACACTTTTCATCTGCAATTTTAGAGTAATCCACTAGTTCTTGGAGTCAGGGTGTGAATCCATACTATGGGATGATTCCCTGAAGAAACCCCTCTCCCCTATTTACAAAGCCTTGCACCCGTCAGTCCATGTGGGTCTTGAGCACCTTTTTGCGCAATGGCGCACGGAGGTGCCTGATTTGGACTCTAAGGATTAGTAGGACATATGGGAGCATCCTGTGCAGCAATTGGTTTCTACTCGTGACCAATTAATTCAGTTTAAAATTCTTCACAGAATATATTATACTTCTTAGAGGCTGCACCGGATGTTTCCAGCCCACCCTTCTAGATGTTGGCATTGCCCTGAGGATCCAGCACCATTTTTGCACATCTTCTGGAGCTGCCCTGTTAGCCAGAGGTACTAGACAGATGTAGTTGACAATATATCCTCTATAACTATGGTTTTTCATACCACTGTCGATTGAGGTCTTTCTGTTGGGTTTGGTTCGGGCCTTGGCTATCTCTCACGCCATGAGAACCTTGATTGGTTTCTTGCTTTTTTATGCTCGTAAAGTGAAACTCTTAAAGTGGAAATCCCCTCATGCTCCCACATCCAGTTTCTGGAAACATCTGGTTAATATGGTCCTCCCACTATATAAATACACCTATGAATCTAGGGGGTGCCCTGCTAAATTTACTAAGGTGTGGCATATTTGGATTGATTCTTCCGAATCGGTCCCTTCCAGTTCTGATCAGGATTGAGATATGGTTTTTCTATCTCTTGTCACATTTATTTGATTGGTGTGGGTCTCCAGTGGTTTTCCTTCTGTGGGAATTGTCTTCTGCCATATTTAAGCTCTGTAAGATCATTAGGTGCGGTTGTCATCTGTTTGTTGTTGTTAACCTTATCTTGTTTGTTATGTTAATCTTTTTGTTTTGTTTTTTTTTGTGCTATTTGTGACTTGATCAAGCCTGGGTATGTCCCATAGGCTTTGTTTTGTATTCTCCACTTTATAAGTCAATAAAGAGAATTTAAAAAAAAATAAAAAATTGTCTTTTTTTGTTTATATCGCAAAAAATAAAACACGCACAGGCAATCAAATACCACCGAAAGAAAGCTCCAATTGTGGAAAAAAAGGACATAATCTGAATTTGGGTGCAGAGTTGCATGACCGCGCAATTGTCAGTTGAATTAACGCAGTGCCGTAACGCAAACAAATGGCCCGGTCAGGAAGGGGGGGGTAAATCCTCTGGAGGGCAAGTGGTTAAACTGAATGGAGCATGCTGCAACCATAAGCAATACACACGGCTGCGCAGTGGTGCAGCTTTTTAGGGGTTAAAACAGGCGGTGGGGACGCAGCATAACGCCATCTCACTGCCTCTCAAACACCCTCTGAAAAAAAGATCAGCCACTGATTGCTCTTTAGAGGAAAAAGCCAATGTAAACCCTAGACAGACCATAGAATGATGAAATGGTGTGGGACTATGTTTCACATGCAGGAAATACAGAGCTATTCTATTACGTCAGGCTGGATATTTCCAGGGACAAATCTTCCAAACCTCCCAGAGCAGCCCTGTGCATCTACTCCCTGTGGCTCTAGTGACAGTGTCCACTATCAGGTGATCAGTAATGTACAAGTACCCTGTGTACATTGTATACACTTGTACTGCCTGTTGTAGAGGTTTGGGTGGGCCTTGTACATCTAGCATACAACACTGCAGCCTGTCATGTCACAGATCCTGCAGCATGTTAGAATGAGGAAGTTCCTCCCTCTCTCCTCCTCTTCCAGTGTGAGATCTGCCAGCAGTGTGTATGAGTACAGCCATGAAGGACTTCACAGAGGTACAGTAACAATACACAGCATGTACCCGGCATTGCCTGCAATCTCTCACACACTCTCCTTTCCCACTAACCTCCTGCATTTACAGTCATTGTGCGATTATCTGAAATACAAACAAACTTCCTGTTTAAATGTACGTGCATTTAGAAGAGTGTATTATCTGCCCCGGATGCCTAGAATTCTATTTTCTCTAAGGGCCGATTCACACTAGGATTCGCATTGAACGCGCATACAGTTTATTTTGAATGGGCTCAAATCGCACCACACCAAACCAGAAGCAATGCTTGCAACCGGATCACATGGTACTTCTGTACCATGAATGTGCATTGCATTTGCAACCTGCGTTTGGGGTGTCAATAAGTTAACCCCTTCACGCCTAAGGGGAAAACAAATCCTAATGCCTAAGTACAATTTTGCAACGTTGACATGTGTTAGTAAAACTGTACATATCATCACAACTACTTTGTACATCCAGGTGAATTATATCTTGGTTTTTCAGGACAAATTGAGCTTTCATTTGGTGGTAAATGGTAATGGATATCTCCTGATTTTTTTTTTTTTATTATCAAAGGAAAACTGGCCCAAAATAGTAAAAAAAAAAATCATTTTTTTAATTTTTAGCTGTGTGTTTCTTGTTACTACCATAACCTACCACCAAAGAACAACCCAAAATAAATTCCCCAGCTCTTGACGATCACAGCAATACCATAGATGTGTATGTTATTTGTACCCGTAGTACAGCCCAGAAACAATAGTGTGCATTTTGTTTTTGTCTGTTTTTACCTAAAACACACTGACGTTAACACCAATTTTTTTTTTAAATCCTGACCTTGACCCAAACACTAACCCTGGCACTGAACTAGATCAAACCTTGATCTAGGTATTTTTTTATTTATTTTTTAATATTTATTTATTTTATTTTGAATTGGTCGCATTCAATGTACTCAATGTAGATGTGGCAGATTCGGTGCACCACGAGGTAAAAGTGGCACATTTTATAACTACCTAAATTTGGTGCACGAATCATCATCAGAAAAAAAAGTGTCGCAGATGATTCGTGAATTTGGCGCAAACCATTATTGAGGGATTGATACCAGAAGGGTGGTGCAGCAGTGTCTGCTTGTGAATCCATGCACCTGCCTGCATGTCAGACTTTGTGTCTGTGCAGCCGCTGTGTGTGCATCCACTTCTATTGGCTGCCTTCACTCAGCTCAGAGGTGGATGCACAGGCATCTGACAGCTGCTAGCATGGAAGATGGGCCTAATCTCTTAGAGCCTATAAACACAGGTATGTCATAGTCAATGTGATTGAGGCCTTATAACTGTGTTTTTCTATGGGCTTGATCGCACTAGCCTGCACAGTAAAATGCAGGTGGCGGTCAATGTGAGGGCTGGCAGGGGGCAATGCAATTCATGTTTACTTTTTTTCCTTCAAATAAAATTAATGTTATCCTCCTACAGCAGTATGGGGGTATGCAGTGCCATCAACTGCGCTGCTGAAAAATGCAGCAGATCTGCATTTTTTATCCCTGCACAACATACTGTGAATGAGACACATAGAAAACAATTGTTTTCAATGTGTCCTTGTATCGAGTGTGGAAAAATGTAAGTCACCGCACACAGTGTGGACAAAACCTAAGGCTGCTTTCACACTTGAGCGATTTGTAGCTTGAAGCTCGAAACTCCAAAAACGATCAAACTTGAAAAATCAGTTCTCTGCGGTGCCTGTTCGCGCAATCAGGTGTGAACAGGCACTATGGAGAACAATTCATTTTTTTTTTAAGTTTGAGCTTTTTTCAAGCCACAAATCGCTCAAGTGGAAATGCAACTCTTTCAAACTCGAACTGTGTGTGAAATTGTTTGCCTTTTTTATAAATTTGCATACATATTTCCCAAGCAGCTGTGACACAGGGCATGTTAGGAAGTAGCTGCTGCTGTGCGGTGGGAAGGTAGGGTGCCGACATGCTGGAAATAGCACATTGTGCAGGAGCCTTTTTTCCCCAGACTTTATTGAAATGTCAGAACGTGACAATTCATCTGGTGCTATTGGCCGCAATGCTGCCAAAGGATTGTGTCGCATTATGCTGCCCTGAAAAAAAGTACCGCATACCATATATATATATATTATATATATATATACTCATTATTAGCGCACACAAACACAATATAACTTCCAAATTCCTACTAAATATAAAATATATAACTGTACCGAGTTAATAAATAAATACACTGCTCAAAAACATTAAAGGAACACTTTGAAAACACATCAGCTTTCAATGGGGAAAAATAGCATGCTGGATATCTATACTGATATGGACTGGGTAATGTGTTAGGAACGTGAGGATTCCCCATCGTTTGATGGAAATGAAAATTAACAACCTACAGAGGACTAAATTCAAAGACACCCCGAAAATAAAAGTGAAAAAATTATGCAGCAGGCTAGTCCATTTTGCTGAAATTTCATTGCAGCAACTCAAAATGGTACTCAGTAGTTTGTATGGCCCCCACGTGCTTGTATGCATGCCTGACAATATCAGGGCATGCTCCTAATAAGACAACAGATGATGTTCTGGGGTATTACCTCCTAGATCTGGACCAGGGAATCACTGAGCTCCTGGAAAGTCTGAGGTGCAACCTGGCAGTGTGTCGGATGGACCGAAACGTGATATCCCAGAGGTGTTCTAGTGGATTTAGGTCAGGCAAGCATGGGGGTCATTCCATGGTATCAATTCCTTCATCCTCCAACTGCCTGCATACTCTCACCACATGAGTCTGGGCATTGTCGTACACCAGGAGGAACCCAGGACCCACTGCACCAGTGTAGGGTCTGACAATGGGTCCAAGGATTTCTTGATGATTTCTCTACCTGGCTACCCTACTTTCTCTCCTCTGAACTACCCACTATCATTCTCGGAGATTTTAACATCCCTATTAATGTCAACAACCCGGTTATATCCCAACTCTTCAACTTAACCTCATCTTTTGCATTATCACAATGTATACAGTCCTCCACTCACTCTGATGGGAATACGTTAGACCTTGTTTTCTCTCATGTTTGCACTCCCTACAACCTCACAAACACCCCCTTTCCTCTCTGATCACAATCTCATCACCTTCACAGTGTCCTCATCTTCAAACACCTATCCCTCCAAGCGGCAAACAATTACCTGCAGAAACCTTCACAACTTGAAAACTGCTCCTTTCCACTCGGCAACTGACCAACTCTATGACAAAATCTCTCCCCTGTCCTGCCCTGACCTGGCCACTGCTGTCTACAACAGTTCGCTTTCATCCACATTAGACTCACTTGCTCCTCTAACAACACGAAGCATCAGGCCCCGACCGTTACAACCTTGGCAGACTGACCACACCATAAATCTTAAACGACATAGCCGTGTGCTGGAGCGATTGTGGCGTAAAACCAAATCTCAACAAGCATTCACCCTATATAAATCTGCTTTCTTAACATACACTTCTTCCCTTCATGCTGCCAAACAAGCCTACTTTGTCACTCTTATTAATACCTTGTCATCCAGTCCACGTTGTCTCCTCTCTACTTTTAACTCTCTACTTTCTCCACCTCCACCCAGTTACTCACTCACTACTCATGAGATTGCAAAATCATTTCAAAAACAAGATTGACACAATTCGTTGGGGCGTCGCCACTGCACAGACATCCATCCCACTTAGCATACCTTATACTAAACCTCCCTCAACACTTTCCTCTTTTGACCTTGCTACTACCGAAGAGGTCACTGAGGTTTTCTCAGAAACCCGTCTCACTACCTGCCCCCTGGATCCTGTCCCCTCACAACTACTACGGTTACCCTCTTCTTCCATCCTATGCTCCCTCACTCACATCTTCAATCTCTCCCTCTCTAACGGTGCCTTTCCTTCCCCTCTAAAGCATGTACACATCACTCCCTGGACCCTATCAACATGAACAACTTAAGACCCATCTCCCTGCTGCCATTTACCTCTAAACTCCTAGAACGCTTAGTCTACAATCGCCTGAGCTGCTATCTCACTGACAACAACCTTCTTGACCCTTTATAGTCCGGCTTTCGCTCACTACACTCCACTGAAACTGCCCTACTAAAACTCACTAATGATCTACTAACAGCTAAAACCAATGGCCACTACTCCATACTCTTACTACTCGACCTCTCTGCGGCTTTTGATACGGTTGACCATCCCCTCCTCAAAAAAAACCTCCACTCTCTTGGCCTCTGAGACTCTGCTCTCTCCTGGTTCTCCTCCTACCTATCGCAGCGCTCCTTTAGCATTACCTATAATGCTGCCTCCTCCTCTTCACTCCCTCTCTCTGTAGGGGTCCCTCAAGGTTCTGTCCTTGGACCCCTTCTCTTCTCCATCTACACCTCCTCCCTTGGTCACTTGATAAACTCCCATGGCTTTAAGTACCATCTCTATGCTGATGACACACAAATCTATCTTTCTACCCCTCACCTCACCCATCCAGTCTCTTCTCGCATTACTAACCTACTAAGTGACATATCGGCATGGATGTCACTCCACTTCCTCAAACTCAATCTTTCCAAAACTGAGCTCTTAGTATTCCCCCCAGCCCGTGCCCCCTCCCCTGACTTCTCCATCAAGATCAATAACACAATCATCAGTCCCTCCCCTCATGCCAGGGTACTAGGTGTAACCCTAGACTCCCATCTGTCCTTTCAGCCCCAAATCCAATCACTGTCCAAATCTTGTAGACTTCACCTCCGCAACATCTCCAAGATACGACCGTTCCTAACCTCGGAAACCACTAAGCAACTTATTCACTCCCTTGTCATATCATGCCTCGACTATTGTAACTCCCTCCTCATTGGCCTACCTCTTTGCAGGCTATCCCTACTCCAGTCTATCATGAACGCTGCTGCCAGACTCATCCACCTTACTAACCATTCTGTATCAGCCACCCCTCTCTGCCAATCCCTCCACTGGCTTCCCATTGCCCAACGGATAAAATCAAAATATTAATAATAACGTATAAAGCCATTTATAACTCTGCCCCAAATTACATCACCAATCTTGTCTCTAAATATCACCCAAACCGTACTCTCCACTCCTCGCAAGACCTCCTACTCTTTAGCTCCCTTGTCTCCTCCTCCCATGCTCGTCTCCAGGACTTCTCCAGAGCTTCTCCCATCCTCTGGAACTCTCTACCCCAATTTATCAGACTATCGCCTACTCTGCTCACTTTTAGGCAATCTCTGAAAATCTTTCTCTTCAGGGAAGCTTATCCTGCCCTCAGCTAAGAATGGATTCTTCTACTCTTCCAACCAGTCCATCCCCCACAGTTACTACCTTCTGTACCAATAGCCCCTCCCTCCTAGCTTGTAAGCTCCGAGGAGCAGGGCCCTCCTAGCCCTCTTGTATTGAACTGTACTGTCGCTGTATTGTCTCCCGTTATATTGTAAAGCGCTGAGCAAACTGGTGGCGCTATATAAATCCTGTATAATAATAATAATTTTTTCCCGATACCTCATGGCAGTCAGGGTGCCACTGTCTAGCCTGTAGAGGTCTGTGCGTCCCTCCATGGATATGCCTCCCCAGACAATCGGTGACCCACCACCAAAACGGTCATGCTGAACGTTGTTACAGGCAGCATAACGTTCTTCACAGCTTCTCCAGACCCTTTCATGTCTGTCACATGTGCTCAGTGTGAACCTGTTCTCATCTGTGAAAAGTACAGGGCGTCAATTCTGATGTTCAATGGCAAATGCCAATCGAGCTCTGTGGTGCCTGGCAGTGAGCACAGGGCCCACTAGAGGATGTCGGGCCTTCAAGCCACCCTCATGAAGTCTGTTTCTGATTGTTTGGTCAGAGACATTCACACCAGTGGCTTGCTGGAGGTAATTTTTGCAGAGCTATGGCAATGTTCATCCTGTTCCTCCTTGCACAAAGCAGCAGATATCATCCCGCTGATGGGTTAAAGACCTTCTACGGCCTTGTCCAACTCTCCTAGAGGAATTGCCTGTCTCCTGGAATCTCCTCCATGCTCTTGAGACTGTGCTGGGAGACACAGCAAACCTTCTGTCAATGACACGCATTGATGTGCCATCCTGGAGGAGTTGGACTGCCTGTGCAACCTCTGTATCGCCTCATGTGATAGTAGTGACACTGACCCAAGCCAAATGCAAAACTAGTGAAAAACAGTCAGAAAAGATGAGTAGGGAAAAAAAATGTCAGTGGCCTTCACCTTTAAAACCATTCCTGTTTTGGGGGTCATCTCATTGTTGCCTATCTAGTGCACCTGTTGTTAATTTAATCAACAACAAAGCAGCTGAAACTGATTAACAACCCCCTCTGCTACTTAACTGACCAGATAAATATCCCAGGAGTTTAGTTGACTTAATGCTACTCTGATTAAAAAGTGTTCCTTTAATTTTTTTGAGTAGTGTATTTGTACATTTTGAATTGTGCCTCTTGGCAAAACTGCAATCAAAGGTTCACAAAACTGTAATAATAATAGTAAGCAAATTACTCTTAGGTCCCATTCACATATGTGCGATTAGGAATCGCAGTGGGATTTTGCTGCAACTGTCATGTGGCAATACGTGTGAGTAACACCTGTTGTGGTAACACCTGATCAGCAGCACTATGATCCAGGCGTAAACTTTATCGCAGCACAGCAATGCTCTGCTGCACATAGAGTTGAATGAATATAATTTTAAAAAAGTTTAAAAAAAGGCAACTAAAGCACTGCAATGCTTTGTAATATAGCCGGGTCTCTGCCCCCCCCCCTGCTCCTGTGAGTAGCGCAGAGTTTAACCACTGAGAACTGTGTGTGGCAATTGACCAATCAGGAGAGAGGAGGAGAGATGTTTCCACATAAAGCATTCTCCTCAGAGTGTAACAGTAGAGTGATGTGACAAGACCGTGTCAAGGAACACCACCTAACGGGGAAAGAGCCTGAGTCAGATGTGGATTCTCAGAATGTGACAGGATTGTGTCAACGAACACCACCTAACGGAGAAGAGCCTGTGTCAGATGTGGATTCTCCTCAGAATGTGACAGGACCATGTCAAGGAACTCCACCTAACGGAGAAAGAGCCTGTGTCAGATGTGGATTCTCCTCGGATTGTGACAGGGCCGTGTCAAGGAACTCCACCTAACAGAGAAAGAGCCTGTGTCAGATGTGGATTCTCCTCAGAATGTGACAGGACCGTGTCAAGGAACTCCACCTAACGGAGAAAGAGCCTGTGTCAGATGTGGATTCTCCTCAGAATGTGACAGGGTCGTGTCAAGGAACACCACCTAACAGAGAGCCTATGCCAGATGTCGATTCTCCTCGGAATGTGACAGGAAGGTGTGAAGGAACTCCACCTAACAGAGAGCCTGTGTCATCGGAGCCCACAGCCGTGTGAGGGACAACCAGGGAATACAGAGCGTGACCTAAATAAGGAGGGACAAAACTACCTACCAGCCTCATCATTGGCAACCTAGAGTGAGTGGATATCCAATCGCAGAGACCACTACTTGATGTGGTGAGAAGGCCTTGTGGCCGCCACTTGTTACCATCGTGACTAAGCCATTAGGAACTACCTTACAGCTACTCTGTAGTTCCAATACTGTCTGCAGGTTTCTTTTGACTGCCTTAACGTGCACCAATGGGCCCCCAAGGTTTAAGACTAAAGTCAAGACTAAAGACTGACCCTAACAGTTGCTGCCTGGCGGTCTTTGGTATTTTGCTTTGGTTAAAGAGGTACAGTACCTCTTAAGAGACGCTGCATCCCTGCCAATCCCCTAGAGTGCTGGTAAACAGCTATGGCCAGCTAGCCTGTACACATCAATAACAACCTAGTGAGGTATTATCATCATTTATTTTGCATTTAACTTTTCCTAATATTGTTTATTGCTGATTTGCTAACTTACCCTTCTTCCCTTCCTAGTTAGGGGTATACAATCTCATTTTTGCCAATTTAACATACCGTAGTTATTACTCTGTCTAGCAGGCTGTGTTGTAATCAATCAGCTTTATGCTAATTTATTATCAATTTGCTATCTATTCTAACCCTATCAATAATAGATAAAGCGCATTTCCCACTAAACAGGTGTGTGTCTATTTACTGATAGTAACCTACAGTCAGGTTAAAGGTATTTTACAGTTGTGTATTTATCTCTGCTTGCGGTGATTTTTAGTCAACCAGGTGTGTCAGAGGGGCCTAGATTGCTCTTAGTCGAGGCACAGAACGGAGAACCCAAAGTTACAAAGCGGCTCCTGTGGAGGTGGCAGTACAGTACAAATGTGCTAGAGTGCACAACGCACACCAAATATGCAGTGAACTAACACATGTAACATGCATTGCCACAATTGTTTTTACCAGAGGGGGCTTTGGGGAAGTATCAGGTCTCAGGAGACCCCTGCTATAACTTCATGGGTAGCACAGGTGGAGGTAAACAGGCATGGCCAGCTAGCCTGTACACATCAATAACAGGCGATCACGACTTTTGAGCGGTTTCATGTGGTTAAGGACAGATAAGTGGCCTTGGACCCAAACTGTCTGCGTCCAGAGCTGATCATCTGTCCCTAACCGCATAAAATCGCTCAATGTGACACCCGCGACCACCTTTCATTGATTCCCTGTTGTATCCAAAACCAAAAAAAAAAAAAAATTTGACATTTTAACTTTCTGTTTTTATTCAGTTTGACCTTTCATTGTCTTATATAGTATATTCTGTAATGCAGGGGTGTCAAACTGGCAGCCCTCCAGCTGTTGCAAAACTACAAGTCCCATCATGCCTCTGCCTTTGGGAGTCATGCTTATAACTGTTAATCTTGCAATGCCTCAGGGGAATTGTAGTTTGGCAACAGCTGGAGGGTCACCAGTTTGACATCAGTGATGTAATGGCATGTAATTGATGTCTTGGCATCTTCTTTTATATGTATATTTTGTATTTTTCAGGAGAAGATTAAAATACCATTTGCCAAGAAATCTCTGGATGCTGTTCTATCCATTCCTAAAGATCACAATGGTGTATTATATGGAGTCATTCTCACACACGGTGCTGGGGGAGACATGAACTTTGCTCACTTGGTGTCTCTGGCGAGCCACTTGGCATCTCATGGATTGCTCTGTCTACGATTTACATGCAAAGGACTCAATCTAGTTTACAGAACCAAAGCGTACAATTCTGTGGTGGTATGTAAATCATTAACATTGGTAGTGATTTCAGGTTTGTTGCAAAAATCCCCAGTAATTTTGCACAGCTATATAACTGCATTGTTTAGGAGGGAAAATTACACAAAAATCCAGTTCTATAGACATTTCATCTACCTATACAGTATGTTGCTTAGTCATTTAGCAGTGATCTGGGTGTTGTTGCTCATTCCAAGAGCCACATATGGCACGTAGCTAATAAACCAGCCATAAACGTGAGCAATACAAACTGTGCTTATAATGAAAAATTGATAGCTAGTGCATACCTTCAATGGAAAAAGTTATAATTACAAAACAATTAGAAGATATCCAGATATAGAAATGTGAATGGAACTTCAGCTGTCTATATTTCCTGTGAAAGGTGAGCTAGGGCTTCACACCATTTTTCCCTTGCGAGACTCCCTATTGGTCAGAAGACAGTAAGGACCAGCAGACAGGTTCAGGAGGTGGCAGATCTCTACTGTTCATTTTCTAAACTGTTTTTATTCCAAAACAAGGTAAAGTGATAGCATTACAGTGGAATATCAAAGCAGCATGAGCAAAGTAATGTACAACCATCACATGTAGACAAGAGATGATATACAAGTGCTAACACTGTTAAACAACAGTAACACAACACATAAAATACACCAGCGTTTCCTGGAATCATTCCACAATACCATTCGTATATCACCACACGTTTACTTAGTTTCCCTTTAGGATGCTGAACATAGGGGAAGGGAGCACCGCAGGTTCTAGAGGTTATAGTAAGAGTGGAGGAACACCAAACATCCTAAAATGTTATTTGTATTTTCTAGAATGGCCTATATGTTTGTAGATAATATTTTCATGAGGCTACTGTTCATTTTTAAAGCAGTTTTCACTAAACTAAAGGCAGCTTCTACCTATTCATTTTTTATATTACATGATTGGTTTGAATTTCCCAGGTTTGTGTCAGGTTTACTTTCAGGCTTCATGTACATGGCTGCGCAAGGGAGTCACCGGAGCAGTGTACAGTCTCCCATTGGAACAAATGGCTGTACAGTACTATACAAGGGTTTATGGTGGCAGTTGCATATGGGCCTTTGCAGATAATCTGAAACTACGGTTGTATGCCTGTGTGCAAGTGCAAGTTTATGCAATCATTGGTATAAATCCTCATATAGCACAGTGGCTAAATGGTTAGCACTTCTGCCTGCAGTACTAGGGTCGTTGGTTCGAATCCCAGCCACGTCACCACCTGCCTAGAGTTTGCATGTTCTCCCTGTGCCTGCGTGGGTTTCCTCCAGGTACTCTGGTTTCCTCCCACACTCCAAAGACATGCTGGTAGGTTAATTGGATCCTGTCTAAATTGGCCCTTGTATATGAATGTGAGTTAGGGACCTTAGATTGAGGCTATCAATGGCTGCAAACACACGGGGATCAGATTTCACGATGGAGAATGAATGAATACAGTGAATGATCAGTATGGATTGCTCCTGTGTTCATTCATAACGGGTGTGGACATTTTTTTTAAATAATACTTGTCCAAGGTATTAAATCTCGGTCCCAATCTACTTGTCCCTAATGACAATCTACTTGTCCTGAAAAAAAAAAACTTTTAACACCTCCCTGCCTGCCTCCAGTACTGCGCCCATGGACTAACAGGGAGGGGAGAGACCTTGCAGTGTAATGAGCACCAATTGAGTGCTTGTCAGGAAAGGAGAGTGTCAGTCTCTCTTAACGCTCAGCAGAAGCACATCTGATGAGTAAATGAATCGCCAGCCCCAATGAGAAAAAAAAACCTTTATTCTTTCAAGCTACCCTCGCACATGGACTTGGGTGCTCAGTAAGAGCTCATGCTGAGCAGCCAAATCAACCTCTGGTGAAGCCTGAAGATGTGTATCTCGTGAATATCTGTATCCTCTGCAGCAACTGTGCATGTGTCAGAATCAGGGAAAACAAGCCGTACACCGAGCTAAACCCGAAGAGGTACCTGAAGTCACTTAACCCCTTACTGTTACTCCAGACTACAACACAGGCACAGGGTGCTACAGCCACTGTGAAATGCCGTATCCACCTGTGTATCCCTGTCGATTGTCACTGTTAATAATCATGACCTATGCTTGTGTCTTGACTTTCACGGTGCCCGAGCTTCTTAATCCTGACCAAGTGCTTGTGTTGTAGTACGGCATGTAAGGAGTTAAGTGGCTTAGCTCAGTGCTTGGCTTGTTTTTCCTGATTCTGGTGCAAACTGCTGCAGGGGATATAGATCTTCACAGGATACAGATCTGCATGCTACACCAAGCATGAGGCAATATGATTTGCGAATCCCTGCCCTATTATTACACAACCCCCCATTATACAGGGGTGACCCCCATTATTACACATTATACAGAGGCAACCCCTCATTACTACACAAGGGTGACCCCCTATTATTACACATTATACAAGTGTGACCCCCCCATTATAACACATTACAAAGGGGTGACCCCCCCCCCCATAGCTACACAGGGGTGACCCTCCCTCATTGCTATACATTACATAGAGTGACTCCAGTACACAAAAGTTCCAGAGAGGTGACACCAGGAAGACTCAGACATGTACAGATCGGGGGTCCCCCAGTCAGACTTACCCCATGGTGATGGTGGGGACTGAGGAGGGTAGGCAGATAACTGTGGTTAAGAACCAGGTGGAGGACATACTGATCTTCTAGCTGTGTGGATAGCAGAGGAACACAAATTTCCTGGAGGTCCAGCTAGCTTCAGGCTGAGAATGATCCTGGGTCCCGGTGTCCCTAGTGCGCTCCACCCTCCATTCTCCGGAGCTCAGGGTTGGTGTATGCTCACCCCTGCCCTCTTTGATCACTGGGGAGGATGACAGAGGGTGTCTGCTCTGTTAAGGGGCAAAAAAATAAAAAGAAACACCCCCCCCCCCCCAAAAAAAACAGTAAACCCTGCTGCTTGCCCACAGCTGGGCTAAATGTAAGAAAAAACACCTGCCAAGCACCCTGAGCTGCATGTCACGGGCATTGGACAATATGATTCAAGCATCCCTGCATGGCTGTGTTTACTATGTCTTCAGTTTGTGAATGAACAGGGAGCCTCTCTACAGAACACCTCCTGTTTATCCAATCAGTACTGCTGCAGAGGAGAAGAATGAGGACTCTGTGTCCTTAATCAAACTGCAGTGCAACCAACACACTAAGGGTCCATTCACATCAGTCAGCATGTGTTATGGTGCACAATACCAATGTGCGCTAGTATCCATTGTGCAAAAGTGCTGCAATGCATGTGCACACATGGCACTGCAACTGGGCATTGTGCAGCCAACCTCCAGATTGCTTATTTACCTTTTGGCATCCCATCAGTTTTCACAGTTTCGCAAAAAGGCACAATTTAAAATGTACAAATATTTATTTATTAAATCAATACAGTTTTAGCTTTTAGATTTAGTATGAATTTTGTAAATTAAAAAAAAAAATCAGTTAAAATCGAAAACATTTGCGCAACTATTAAAGATCCTACAAAGTCAGTAGCACCATCTTTTTACTCTATCGGCCCTGTGCTTTCAGAAAGTGTATGTTCAAGGGATCTTTCACAAACTCTGAAAACCGTAAGTGAAAAATGACAAAAAAACTTGAGAAATTGCAAAAATGGTTTGGCCATCTGTGAATAAAAAGGGATCATGTGGCTTGGCAGCGAAAGGGATAAAAGACATTCCAGGGGTACAGCCTATCTGCACAGAATTGCTGTTTTTTTTAATTTATTAGGCACAACTGGCACAGCTACTCCATTTTTTTTGTTTGTGATATAGGTAAATTGCCACTCTGTGAAAAGACCTATATACCAGTAAAGGTACTAAAACTGTTCATAGATACAGACCTGCCTGCAAAGTTTGAATGTTATTGGTGATACAACAGTCAGGGAGAGGGAAAGTTACACAGCATATGCCTCAGGAAGCAGAGATGTATGAGTATATATAAACTTTAATTTTATTCTATTTTTTTTCTTTCAGATGTATATCAAATCTCTGGATGATTATAACATTGGTGGCATTTTCCTTATAGGTGAGCTGTCTTAAATGATGCAGATATGAGGTCATACCATTTAATGTATCATTAGCTGTAATTGTACGAGGGGTCTTCCTTGTTCAAATATTTTATCGGAAAGAAAAAAGGGTGATAACATTGTTTCAGTACAAGTTAATGTATAAAGTGTAAACAGAAAACAAGTGGGTGTTACAAACAGGGCGGACTGACCATTTGGAAACTCGGGCACGATCCGAGGGCCCGGGGTCAGTAGAGGGCCCCATGAGATGCCCCTGGTACCTTTTTCATAGGATTTTTTGCGTTTGGGCAAGGACACAGGGGCCCCATGATCCCCTATAGCCCGGGGGCCCCATGAGTTGTCAGTCTGCCCCTGGTTACAAAGATGACAGGCAATGAAGAAGTGCATTCAGGATCCATTAAAATGAAATATGTACATATCACAAGCAGAGAGATGTATTTATATCTTCACAAGTAAAGCACAGGGGTAGATAAACAGTAGATGAAGCATGTGAGAGGGGGTGAAATAGAGTAGGAGGAGAGTTAGCAAGAGTCACTTTGGAGGGGGTTCAAATCATCAAAGCAGTTATGGGCTAATTGCTTGGAAGAGAGGAGGCCCAGGGAAGCAGAAGAATGCTTCTGTGTGAAAGGGGGATCTCTGGGGAACTCCGAGCAGACTTTACATATGTAGCTAAAGTTGCAAAGCCCACAAACAAGTAGCAATTTCAAAGTGGAGAGAAGTTGGGCAAAAAGAGGAAGTAAGTTAGTTGAGGAGGTAGAGTGGTAGAGAGAAAAGAGGGCAGTAAGGGGGGAGGGGTCCCTGGGAACCAACTGAGAAAGAGGGGGGGCCCTGGGAACCAACTGAGAAGAGGGAGTCGACATATACCTCAAATGAGACTGGCAGGAGTTGTCAGTCAGGGAAGCATTAAAGATTCATCAAAGTTTGGTGGGAGATAATGTGTCACCCAGGGTGCCCGGGGTGCTTTGAATTTGTCTACCTTATCCATAATGATCGCTTCTATTTTCACATGTATCATGGCTTGCGTTACTGTATGTTTGACTGCCAGAATACAGAGAGTTGGGGTTTTCCATGCCTTCGCCAAGGTTCGTTTAGCAAGTTTCTGCACTTTTATATATATAATAGAGTTAAAAAAAAGTGTGGAGACGTTTTGAAGAACCCTTGTAATACCTGGTCGATGTTATTAGAAAGCCTATTTTACTGAAATGAAGACAGCATAGGTAAATTTGATGCCATTTTTTTTTTCTTCCCCTGTAACCCCTTCTCTGTACTTTCCTCCCTCAGTATATTGCTCCTTTTGTCTATCTTCAGTGCCTATCCACTGATGCCCCCCCGTACTGCCTCCAGTCCCCCTGTGTGTTTTAGCAATACTTTGCCCACATATCATCAGTGTCAGTGTGCTGCTTACATTTGTTACCCATTTATCGTAACAATACATGAATGTCTTGCCAACATATATATGGTCAGAACTGCCATTGTGTATTGCCACAAATGCCTGTGTATTACCATATCCCAGTGCTCCAAGTGTGTGACCAAATCAATTGGTTGTTTTGGGGACATATAATAAGATTACCTTTCTGTCACAACCCCAGTCTCATTGGGTTCCAAAACTGTGTATCAACAAAGAGTATACTAATCATGCCAAATGGAAAGTCAACCTTATGCCAGGAACTATTCATTACCAGCTCAGTCCTCATTAGCCTGTCATTCTGTTCTTCATTTTCTTCTACCTAAAAGAATATGGGCCCCCCACACAATATTTTGCTAAGGGCCACAACAGACCTGAAAGCGAGCTTTAAAGCCTAACTAAAAAATTATCCTATGCAATGGGGCTGTGCCTGCACTGCAGGGGATAATTAGTTATTTATGACGACGGGATCAGTAAAAGATGATAAACTTTCCCAATCCTCCAGGGGCTATCTGCAGCTAAACTGGTCCCCACAGCTTCTGCATCCCTGCACTCTAGTGGTCTAGGGTCCTGACATCATCAAGACCAGAGCAGGGTACACAACTCTACTCTGGAGGTAAGAACGCAGAGGAACAGTCCACTACAGCATTATAGGGGAGCGCCTTTGTCAGGGGAGCGGAGGATCAATTAAGTAAATGTTTCTCCTCTCTCTTAGACAAAATGCGCTATTCCCACACTGCAAGGGATCTTTTTTTTTTTTCTGCCCAGAGTTGGGCATTAAATATATGCATTTCCAGTGAACGTATGCATTCATTACATTTTGTTTTAGTAATGACTGTATGAATACATAGGGTGAATTCTGCAAATTGTTATACTACAGGTTTAGGTTATTATCCTAAGGGTTGTAAGTTAAGCTGGTTATTTGCTGTTAAGCAGAGCGTTGAAAAGAGTTTGCTGTTGCTAGCTTCAAAATGACTGACTAGTAACAACTCCTATTAGTAGACTAACTTACTGAATGACTGTTCAACAACTGTTTATATTGAATGGTGGTAATGAAGACTTTTTTGTTCACATTTTCTGCATAGGCCGATCCATGGGCTCCCGTGCTGCTGCTTGTGTGATGAGAGGAGCTTGTGAAGAAGACGATGATACAGTCCAAGGCCTGATTTGCCTGTCATATCCGTTACACCCGCCTAATGCAAAAAGCAAGCTCCGGGATGAAGATATCTTGCAGATAACAAAGCCGATGCTGTTCATCTCTGGTTCATTGGATGAAATGTGTGATAAGGTAAACATAGTATGCACAGTTTTTATAATTAGCATACATATACTTGCAAGCTGTTTTCTTGTCATTGAATATTGAATGACAGAAAATGTACTTTTGTTTTTTATACTGATTAACAGATATAGGCATGTTAAAGTGAAAAAGTGCAAAGTGGTTTAAAAAAATGTCGATAATATGACAAAAGTTACATCAGACTGAAGCTCTTGATCTGCATACTGGTTTTGGGTCTTTTACTCAAAATGTCTTTTAACAGTTAGTAATAACAGAGATGAGGACTGTCTGTGATACTTGTTTTATTTCAACTAACAGTTACATTTTCAGGGAAAGTTTGGGGGCGTACTCTCTTCTTCCAATTTCCAGGCCCTAAAAGCTTGTACTGAAAATATAGTTGCTAGTGCAAATAAAACAAGTATCAGATAGTACTGTGTTGTAATAGTGCACTAACAGCTACAATCACCTTAAAATGGAACTTTAGGTAACAAAAAAAAAATGTGAACGGGCAGGAATTTTAATGCAGAAGAAACATGCTTTGTCTCTTCTGCATTAAAGTTACTTACCTGCCTGTCCACCCGTGTACAGTGAGCCGCGCATGCGAAGTTCACTGTACAAATTTGGCAATTCAAAAGCGCATCAGTGTGAAAGCTGTTTCTCTGAACGAGAATTTCATTACACCTGACTGAACTGTTTTCAAGTTTCAAACTCTCTGGAAACTTTTGAAGATTTTTTTTTTTCTTCAGACAGAAACTAGGAGAGTTGTTGATACGCGTACCCCACAAGCTGCCCATGGCAGGTATTTCCATTTGCAAAATACTACCACACATATCTGAGCCTACCCTCACCTCGTGTGGAGCAGAGCCAGCCTTGGAACTTCATTGTGCTCCAGTATAGGATGAACTATGTAGGCATTTGCTCGGCTCGAGACTTCTACTGGAAAGCAATGGCTTTCAGATCCTGGGTTGTGTGGAGCTGACCAGCACTTGTGCAAAGGTAGCATTTGCAGCTCTGATTGTGGAGACCTGCACGCTAGCAGCCAGGGCAATGGGAATGGGTTTATTTATTTATTTATTTTTTAACTACAGCCGAAGGACTGAGTCTATACCTTTGATTGCTATGAATAACCAACATATTTTAAAGCAGTAGTAAACTTCACCCCCCAAAAAACAAAATAATGGGCCCCCTCCAGGTTTAGGTCATAATGTTCTAGTATGCACTGCATACTAGTACATTATGACTGACTTACCTGTTTACGGAGCCCTCCAGCGACGTGCTGTCACAGCTCCCCAGCACCGCCTTCTTCACCTGGTCTTCCTTCTGGGTTCGCAGGCTCTGACAGTATGAATGGGCGGAGCCATGATGATGTCACTCTTGTGCATGGGAGTCCTTGGCTGCGGCACGGAACTTGCAACAGTGCAAGTTTAGGAGATATTCACTGTACCTAATGGTAAGCCTTATTATAGGCTTACCTGTAGGTGCAACCTACAAAGTGGACTTTACCTGCACTTTAAATATGTCATCAAGGTCTTGTGCCTGTAGTTATATCACACTTTGTATAATGTACACTTAATTACTGTCTCTTACTATAGGCTTTGTTGATGAAGACCGTTAAAAAAATGAAAGCTCCTGTACAAGTCCACTGGGTTGAAAATGCCAATCATGGAATGTCTGCCAAAGGAAAGACAGTTGATGACATTATGACAGAAATAAATGAACAGACTTTGTCCTGGATTCAAGACATATTGAAGCTGTAAAGACTGGTATCACTTTTACTCAGCAGAAAGCCAAGTCACATCTGTTTTGTTGGCTGCACTACTCTTTGCTTCTAGTAATTTACCAGCGTTTGTTGGAAACACCATTCTGAAACTGCCATAGACACTAACAGTTACTGAACACCTTCTATGTAGGGACCAAGATATCTGTTTACCTTCTAGTGTATGGCCCAGCGGGGCTGTTAGTAGCAGTGTACTAATGTTCCTTGTAAAAAAGGCATTCCAAATTCCTGCTACATTATAAAAACCTTTGCCTTGAACTATGTTCTTTAGTTATAGCATTACTGAACCACACCTTTGGTGACTTACCATAGTGTGATAAAATTATATGGTACAGGTATTACCTGCAGTTACATGTTAAGGAAAATCTGCTATGAAAAAAATATTTGGACTGTCATTACTGACCTCCTTCTGATACTTCTATGTGCCTGGCTGTCATAGTAACTTTCTAGCGTTAACATTCTTGGAGCCTCTGACTCAGAACCTGTATGCAGCAAGTAGAGGGAATTGTCTGCTCTGTAAACACGGTACAGGTCAGTGGCTCGAAGCTTTGATGCTAGAGAATTAACAAGACAGGATGGCATCAGCATTTGTAAGAGGGCATCAGCAGAAGACCAAATATTTCTTCCAGGTCTTTTAATAAGCAGTTAGAATGATACACCCTTCCAGTGTAACATATATGTTCAGCATTGAATATTTCACTATTTTTGTCATGTTTAATCCTTGCTTTTTCCTCTGTTACTAAAGAAGAATATGAGGATAATAAATTCAAAGTAATGGTATCAGTCAACCTCCACCAATATGTAGGTGTTGTCTTCATAACCCAAAACTACTACGGCACAAGAAATCCCCATAGGAGGGGCACCGGCGTTCCTCTAGAAGACATTAATAGGGACTGATATAAAAAGATTTTAAAAAAAAGTTTATTATAGTCTTATATCAAAAGTTAAATCCAAGTATAAGAAAAAACTCATTCAAAGTCACCAGTGTAAAAAACAAGCCTTGATAGGCTTGAGGCACGTGTATACACACATAAAAAACTGCTAGTGCACAAACAAGACAAAACATAAACAGGACACACATAAAATGACAAATATTATTATTATACAGTATTTATAAAGCGCCAATAGTTCGCTCAGCGCTGTACATTACAAAGGGGGACAGAACATGTGACAGTACAATACCAATACAATGCAAAACATGAGGGGATTGAGGGCCCTGCTCTTTCGAGCTTACAATCTAGGAGGGAGGGGGTGGTGGCACAGGAGGAGATAGCTGTGGGGGATGGAGAGGTAGGAAGAGTGGAGGAGGTCGGCAAGTTAGCAGGGGGTGGGGTAGGCTTCCCTGAAGAGGTGGGTTTTCAGGGTGCGCCTAAATATGTCCAGATGCCAAAATATTTCCATACAAAGGAATATACCGTGGCAATAGGCCTCATGTATTTATTAATGCAATCAATAAGGTATTTCCTATGTATGGATATTGCGGAATGATAGCTGCTGAGACAAGTGTGGAGCCATATAATACAATGTAAAAATAATATGATAGGTAATTGCAGGTTATCAAAGCCCTAAGCACAAAAGGTGGCTCAAAAAGGGTGGATTAATCGACTCCCAAATGGTGGTTATATAAGGTTCATTCCTCCTGTTATCAGTGGCATCTATCCCTGGACAGTGTTAGTCCCAAATAGAGTCCATAATAAAATAGTAATGGGGGTATAGAGGAAAGGAAGTGTAAATAGCAATAAATCCTCCTCCTGTAGGCTGATGAACCAGCTGTTAAAGGATATAGCGGAAATAATCCTGGAGTATGCAGCACAATAATGATCATTACAGGCAGTTCAAGCAGAGCAGCAGCGGTCAGAGCAAGCAGCAAGTTGTAGGCTGCAAAAGCTGGCGTAAGTGTGGTTTAGAATGACTGGCTAAGAGTGAGTCTCACACATGGTAACCATCCACATCTAATATAGACCCAGCATACTTTACCCATCCTGGAATTCGTACATGGCTCTCAGTTTGACTCTGAAATGTATCCAGTTCTGCCTGTCTCCAGTATCAGGAGCAGATTGATCAATCCAAGTAAATCATCCATGCTCTACTGTCAATGGTGCATTTGCTGTGTGGTAACCTTTTTCTCTGTTAGTCTGGACTACTTGAAGGTTTTTTTTTTTTTTTTGTTTTACTGCTTTTTCAGTATTTGTAAATATTTTCTATTATTAAAAAAAGTTTAAGTAAACAATATGTAAGTATTTTCTGTAATCTTAAGGGTAGATTTAGATCTGCGCCTAAATCTACCTCTCTTCTGAATCCCCGGATCTGGCTTGAGAGGCAACCTACCTTGAGGGTTTGCCGCACACCAAGCGCTATGTGTCGGGTAAATTTTGCCATAGATGCAAAGCGAAGCATCACGTACGCAGCATGTAAACACGCCTGTCTGCTTCATATTGAAGCTTAAGGTTCAGTGGCAAGGAGGCGGTAAGAACGAAGCTCAGCCATGTATTTTTACCGCCCCACCCCCTTAAAGTGGTTTTAGAGCCTAAACATTTTTTTTACCTTAATGTATTCCCTGCTTTATGTAGCAGTAGTGCCCCCTCACCCCTCCCTTCATACTTACCTGAGCCCTCCAAACTGGATGACAGTGTACACTCGCCAGTGCTCCAGGAATCAACTGACAGAATGAAGCTGGGGGAACCAGGGCAAAAGGTGGCCTATGGATAGCGTTTTGGGAATGCCGCCCTCCTCAGACAGGATTATCAACAACTGGAAAAAGCAAACGGGGTGCAAACAGCTAGTGCATTTTATTTAAAAGTACAAAAGACAAAAACATACTCACAGACATGACATGTTTGTAAAGCTTAATATGAGAACCAAGACGGCCACAGCAGTGGGCAGGGTGTTCCGACTGTCAGTCTGGTCAGCTTGCTGATGCGTTTCGGACAAGTCTGTTTTCTCAGAGCTAATGACCAACCTGTATGTGAGTCTGCTAAAAATAATTAGAGTGACCCTCCTCTCCTCAGACTCGTTGAAAGGGGGAGGAGTCCAGAGGAGCAGGGGGGGGGTTAATATCAATGCTTACAATCAAAATGCATTTATTGTAATGATTGTATTGAGGGAGCGGGAGGCAGGGCCTAGACACTCTGTCTATGTCTGTGAACGCAGGCAGTGTGGCTCAGGATCAAGCCCACAGGTGTGCCACCATAGGCAGGGGTTTCCTTTGGTTGCACACCAAGATGAAGGAGAAGCCAGGAGCACTGGTAGGGGACCCAAGAGGAGTAGGATTGGGGCCACTTTATGTAATTCTATTGCAAAAAGTGAGTAGATATCATGTTTTTTTGTTGTTATTTAAAAAAATAACTTTACATTACTTTGGACTGTTAAAAATGTATCCTTTAATTTAAAGTGGAGTTCCACCCAAAAGTGGAAGCTCTGCTTATCTGCCTCCTCCCCTCCTCTGTTGCCACATTTGGCACCTTTTTTTTGGGGGGGGGGGGTGCCTGAACTTTGCCAAGGGATAGTTACTTGACTTAGGGCTCATTCACACCATGGTGCAGAGACCTCAGTTTTTCTGCAAGGGTGCAACAAAATCAATTGTTCTCTGAGTGCCCTGTGCACATCACAACGCTATTCCCCTCCCTCCTAGATTGTAAGCTCCAAGGAGCAGGGCCCTCCTAACCCTCTTGTATTGAACTGTATTGTTGCTGTATTGTCTCCCGTTATATTGTAAAGCGCTGAGCAAACTGTTGGCGCTATATAAATCCTGTATAATAATAATAGTATCCCATGCAGATTTTTTCTGCGCAGGAATCTGCAACATGTATAAAGCTCATTGAAGTGCGCATGAAAACAAATGTCTCTGAAATTGAAATCTGCTCGTCAGTTTCCATCAGTTTTTCTGTTAATGTATGTGATAATGTGAGAAGTGTGGGCTGCCATTGCTGGCTTCTTATTTTATAATGCTAGCCACCTGGTGGCCATGCTTATATTTTGGCTTCAGTGCTGCAAGTCACTGATACACAACAAACATACAGATGAGGATTCTGACTTTCTTCTGACTTTCACTTGCTACATTCTCATCCATCTCTGTATCTCAGAATGTATGAAATGTATATATTTGGAAAGCAGATGAGGCCAAACAGATAGCATTTTCAGGTGCTTGTCAGCAGTGACAATCCTGATAAATCTCACATGGCAGGTCTTTAAGCTTAGAAACAGTTCCTAATAATAAAATATACACATATTTTGTAAAATGTGTCTGTATTTTGTGACTTCAGGAAGATATTCATACAGCCATTCATTTACTGATATGTTCACTTAAAATGGCTATGGTAATCATAGAGTTCATTAAGGGACACAAACTTTATTACTGTACCATTTGGGCTAAACTGCATTTGTACAGGTGATTTGGGAACTAGCAAACAAAAAAACTGCAGGCCAGATCAGGAAAAACCGTATACTACCTTCATGTCTCAGTTTTGTAGTAAAATATTATCAAAAGCATGGACATAAACATAGAGGTAGCAACTGTGTCCCTCAGTGGATTCCAAGAAAAGAACTTTAGGTGGGTATAAAAGTCCTATTTTCCTTTTCATCCATTAAGGGACACCTCTAGAATTTCACAAAGCAGACCAACTGAGGGGTGGGACACAGCAAACAAATTCTAGGATTGAAGGAACAAATGGACATATGAGGGACGCTCAGAATAATAGAAGGTACTCTTCTAATTTATGAATATATACGTACTTGAATAGAATTTTTTTATAACCAGAGTTTAGTGTCACTTTAAGAAACTGACAAATCCATGGAGATGGCAAAACACTTTCTAATAAGGTCCTCTCCAAACAGTTAAAAGGATAATGAGAGCTTGGAAAGTACAAATATCTTTTCAGGGTGTACCCAATTTCTACAAGAGAGAACTTGGAACAACAGGTGCACAGAAAAGGTGGTCTTAGGAACTCTAAAAGACCGCACACTAGGAAGAGCACTGGTGGA